CAAGAAGGATGAAGAGCTACTGGAGAGAGTCCAGCGGAGGGCTACAAGGATGGTGAGGGGACTGGAGCATCTCCACTACGAGGAGAGGTTGAGGGAACTGGGCTTGTTCAGCCTGAAGAAGAGAAGGCTGCGAGGGGACCTTATAAATGCCTACAAATATCTGAAGGGTGGGTGTCAGGAGGATGGGGCCAAGCTCTTTTCAGTGGTGCCCAGCAACAGGACAAGGGGCAGTAACCCTGCTTCGGCAAGGGGGTTGGACTAGATGACCCACAGAGGTCCCTTCCAACCCCTACTATTCTGTGATATTCTGTGAACAGACAATCCAAAGAGGATATCCAAGCACTGACAGATGTACAGCAAGTGCTCTTTTGTCCAGAGCACTGAGGTGGGTGGGAGAAGAAGCAGGTGAAAACAGGCAAAAGAAAACAGGACCTAGAAAGCAGACTTGGGACTTATACTGCACCAGTACAGGAGCTTTGCAAGAGCCACTGAAGGTAACAGTCTGCCCAGGCCCTGTTGGAGAGGTTAAAGATGATCCTAATTCCCTCCACTGTGATACAGAACAGAAAGTTTTCCCCCAGGCATCCTGGCTGAGCTCCTCTGCTGGACACCTGACCGTCTTGCGCATGTCTGTGGAAGAGAGGGGGTCACCCTGCCACTGTACTACCACTCTGATCCTAAGCTTATGTTTTCTTGGGTGTTTATTTGGTGTTTCTGTAGTCTGTATGTCATTTCAGGGTATTTTAGGAAACCTTTAATGCCTTTGGTAGCCTTAGCAAACAGAGTAGCTTTGGAAACAAGGTAGAGAGATGGTTTCCCATACATAGGCTATTGTATATCATGTACAGCAGGATCACCCAACCAAAAGACCTTGTATTTCAGGAGACCCTGTTTAATGGGACTACCAAAGGAACAGCTGTTGCTGGCCCTGGGTGGGAAGAGTTGACTGAAGTGGGCTTTGGAAGCAAACTGCTAGAGAAGGCCTGTGGAGCTGAGGTGGCACGGGCATCTGCCCAGCATGAGTCCTGTCTGAGGGGGCTGCTGGCTCCCCCAGCCTGGGGTACGGTGGGCTGACTCACATCAGGAGGTCCGGGAAGATGCCCTGTGCTCCCTCGCTGTGGGGTTTGGCAGGGATCTGGCAAGCCAGTTGGGAAATCCTTTTATTGTTTCCCTCTGACCTGCTGACCCCTCCTGGCAGGATGAATCATTTGCAGCAAAGGATGTGACCCTTTGCTGGAAGCACTCCTCCTCTGCTCCACTGATGCTGAGCAGCCTGGGGCATGCCTGTTGCACCCAGCCCTAACGAAAGTCCTGTTTTCTGAGAGAGGCTGGTAGTTAGAGCTAATATCAGGCTTCACAGCCCTGTGAGAAGAGAGTTCCTGACTTGATGCACAAATGCCTTATCCTGTCCTCTGCTCACCAGATACTTGGTTGCTTTTGCAGCAGTGCACTGCTGCTGCTTGCTGAAGGGAGACCTTCCCAGCTAGCTCATGAGCAAGAAGATACGAAGAATGAAAGGTCTGGGAAGCTCAGTATTTTCCTCGGAGTCGCTGACCAGAATACATGCCTTTCACCTCTTCTGTTCCAGTCAAGCTTAGGAAATACAGCCTTGTCTTCTTCCCACCCAGCTCTCTTTCTGGGAGATGATGCTGCCAAAGACTTTTTGCTGCCTCATGGTAGCCCTGTCTCTCGTGTCAGTCAGGGTATTTTGTACCCACGAGTGCTAGCCAAAATAAACTCGGTGCAGATGAGTGGTACGTCAGCCCCAAATGGGAAGTATGAAGGCTGTTGAATCACACCCCTGGTTTGGCATCGTATGCCTGAGCTTTCTGCTTGGGTTTTGGGGAGATGTGGGACAGAGCGTGGCTTCTTGGAGGAAGTCTGCTTGGATTGAGAGAGCCAAGGACTGTGCAGCGGCAGGTTAGGTGCAACTCCAGAAGGCAGGAGAAGGGATGGCCTGGTTGGATCAGACAGGCCATGTGGAGAGGTCTGTAGCCTTGCTGCAGCAAATACCACTGGACTCTTCTTTTCCTACTCTGTGGAGGCCTGACACAAAGGTTTCCAGTTGCTGGTGCCTCTGTATGGGCTTGCCCTTTGTTTGAGGACACACTTGGCTTCAGAATGCTCTGGTCTAGATGATGGTGCTGGAATGCTACCACAACCAGGGTGCTGGTCCAGGGCTGAGCAGTAGTCCTTCACACTCCTCCAGCAGCTCTCATGAGCCTGTGCCCTCCATTGCCTGTGAGGAAACGCGTTGCTGGCCCTGGTGTCGGTCTGTCTGCCACCAGAGACATCTTCCCAGGATGGAGTGCTGAGTCTGTGCTCTGGACTAGCCTGGGGTGTTCTTCAGCTAGGAACGCTCTGCAGGGTGCTGGGCCGGGGTCTTGGCTGACCTCACGCACTGCCAGTGCCTGGCAGAGGGGGACAGAAGGCCAGGTCAGGACCATGCCCTGTCCCTGCCAGGTAGGGAAGGGACAGTGTCGCATCCTGCTGGGTAGCAGAGATGAGCGAGCTGTGAGAACAACTTTACACCGACGAACAATGAGCAGAGGTTGAGCTGGCAGCAAGCAGCTATTCTCATTGCCTCGGAGGAGCTGAGCTGATTTGCAGCGTAATTAATATGCATCAGATCTAGGAAACCTGAGATCAGGGTTTTGGCTTGCTCAGAAAATACCTTTACCTGCTTCATTATTGCTCCCAAATGAAACTCTTTGCAGCTGTGGAGAGTATTTTTGCCACTGACAACATACCTCCTCCTTTTTATTTATGTATCTTTAAAGCTGAATATTTCTAGTTTCCTACCTGAGGTTTGTTTGCCAGGCACAGGAGGGAGGCATGCACAAGTGCACATCAGCAGCAGAGACATTAATGCACGCAGGCGTTCTCTCCAAAACCACTGAGGAGAAGCCAGAAGGATCACGCCCACCTAAAAATAAACATTAACATATGTACAGGCCTTTCTGAGCCTGAATCACTGCTGGATACCAGATCTCCACAGACTCCTGCCCAGAGATGGTGCAACAGTCTGCTAGGGAGCAGCCTTACTTCCCGGCACTGTGAGAATGGTGCAGCTTTTGCTGCTGCTCACAGATTTCCAGGCCCTTTGTGTAATGGAAGGCAGCACCAAGATGAGATGCTGACACCGGTGTGTGTGCACTTAAACAGCTAGGTGTGGTGCCGGGGCAGCTGCAGACAGGAAAATGCAGCCTCTTAGTCCGTGTCAGGAAGTTTAGGGTGCTAAGGGAAGTTTAGGACAGAGCGTGGAAACAAGAATTATGTCTTCAAGGGCATTTCTCTGCCTTGTGTTCCTTGCCATGATGCCTGCTGGGCTCAGGACTGATGTGGTTTGTTTTCATTGTGGAGAGCCAAGCTGGAAAGGATGGTAGGCAGAAGAAGAGGCAGCGTAGGGGTTTGCACGCCCACACCCTCTGCAGTAAATGTGTTCAGGGCTTGTGAAGTCACGCAGCAAACAAAACCCATGGGGCACAACCTGAGAAACTGAGGCGTGAATTCTGGTTTGGATGTCCTGACCTTGCTCAGGTTAACTGCTGTCCTGTTGCGTGCGGCTGCACGGCTGGGCACAGCTGCCTCTTGGACAGTTTTCGTGTGCATGTTTCCCAGCGTGGGGATCACAGGGACTGTGCCGGTCGGGAGTGAGTCGCGCTGACGAGTCCCAAGTGTGGGCCTGGAGAAGGCTGGCAGTGGGTCGGCAGGAGGAGGTGCTGGATGGTGTTAGCAGGTCTCTCCTAGCCCCAGCCATGGTGCTGTCTAGGTGTACACGGTGTCTGTAATTGTCACTCCCTGGTGTCAGGGGGGCATCTGCTTAGCTGGAATAGCAAGGAAATAGCATGGGTCAGGAAAAGGTACCCTAGCATACCTATGTGGAGAAGCTGATGGTTCCTGCTTGTACCAGCTGAGGAGCGAGGCAGAACTGACAGTTATACATATTGTTGGGAATAAAATTTGCCTGAAGTTTAATACCCCTGACTTCTGTTTGAAAACCAGTGGGAGATACCTGTTCTAGATGTGCATTCAAATTCCTGTTGATCCTGACATCAGAGCAGAAGGCCTGAGCGTAGAGCAGGGCTTGGAACTCCCAGCCTGGTCACTGGTACCAGCACGCAGCCGTCTGTCTCGGTGCCGGTGCTCCAGCCTTTTTGTGTTTCAACTGTGGAGTCCCCATAACGGAATTAGGAAGGTGATGCTTCTGCCTACCAACGTGTGCCTCTTATTTAGGAGATTGTAAAGCTCCCTGGAACTAGAAATGGGAATAAAGGCATCCGGGTTGTGGAGCTTCTTTGCGTCTTCTAGGTTTGGGGAATTTTTATATGATATATAAAAGAGATTTAAATAGGCACGGGGTGGGGGCATATCCAGATGGTCCTGTTTAACCACAGGCTGAGCAGGGACTGCCGAGAAGTTTGCCAGACACACATTTTGTTCAGGAATCATCCCTTAGCAGCGCTGGTAATAAAGAAGCAGCGATGGCATTCGTCTGTCAGTGCTGATAAACTGCTGTTGTGAAGGGGGAGCGGAGGTGTTGGCGGGGGTGTTCCCCCTCTTTCTCCCCTGTGGGGTGGCTTGAGCCGAGCGCGGCGGCCGGGTGGCTCTTGAGAAAAGCGGTGTTTGCTGCTCTCTGCTGGTCTGTGGCAGGGTGGGTGCCGTCAGGGGTGCTGGCCCTCGGGTACGCAGGAGTTGGGCAGTGGCTTACAACGGATTACGCTTGGGCTCAGGGACAGATAATGGAGTGAACCCTGCAGCCTGACCCAGAACCAGATAAGAAAGGACATGCACGGCCATTTCTGGCTCTGGGAGAGAGGGCAGCAGCAGGGAGCAGAGCTTGCAGCAAGGAGCATTTAACAGGCTGTTTTCTTTTTTCTGAATTAGACCAATTTACTGAATTGGCTCTGGTAGGAGTCGTATAAGGAACGTGTTGCCCCAGTGCCAAATCTGGGGCTCATAGTGCACTAACTAAAGCATTTTTTCTGTTTCATCACCAGCACCGGCAACTCCTGAAGGACAGTTTCATGGTGGAGCTGGTTGAGGGGGCTCGCAAACTACGTCACGTCTTTCTTTTTACTGATCTGTTCCTGTGTGCCAAGCTCAAGAAGCAGATTGGAGGGTGAGGTTTTCCTTCTGGACTATGTGCTTTGCATCTCAGCTTCAGCAGAATCCTGCATTTAGCCAGCAAATTTTAGTTAAATATGGATACCCTAGACCTGGGTAACCATAATCCCTAAGATGTAGTCAGGCAAGGAATGATCAGCAAGGTAGTACTGTCTGTTACATGAGACCTTGGCCGAGTCCTGATCCCCCAGCAAAGGTTAATTCCTCCTCCCCACCCAGAACCTTCCTAGGAAAATAGCATATGCTGTAGCTGCTGGTATTCTGGACAAATGCCATTCATTTTCTACCCCGCCTTGCTTTTAATAGGTGACATTCTTCACTTTCTTTTGTTACTAAGGTTATTAACTTTGGCCTTGCAGCTACAGCCAGTTAACAGTTTTGCAGAGAAATGGAAAAGGTACAATAAACAGACGATGTATCAATCCCAGAGTGCAGCTATACAAAGAGTTTTGTTGACATTTTTCATAAAAGAGGGGGAAGGAACCATTCCTGATGTACCTGCCTCAAACAAGGCTTCTCTTCATTTGGTAGACATTCTGCTCTGGGATGCCCCTCTCGTCATCTTGCCCTCCTCGATCAACAAGTTGTCCCTGCCCGTTTTGAAGCACATGCTTGTGAGGAATGAACCTTCAAAAGAGAGGGACGTTCCCAATAGTGAATGTTCCTGGCAGGAGAGGTGGGGAGGGAATAAATCACATGAAACATTTAAAACATTGAACTGGTTATCCTGGTGAAAGCACTTGGAGAATGGCAGTCAGGAGCCGAAGTTTCTTTCTCATGGCTGGATTACACAGAGGTTTATACACATTGGCTCATCTGCCCCACTTGGACCTCCTAGCTCAGGCAACAGAGACCTGGGTTTAGACCACAGATAGCAGCCAAGTCAGAGGCGTGGCATGGCTTTTGAACTTTGCCTCAACGGGGGCTTCAAAGAGAGAGAATGCAGGACAGAAAGGGTTTGCAAAAGATCTTTGTGGTTTCTTAGCATGAAAAGAACCGGATCACAAGACAAGTTGCTCTGTTACGTGCTGTACTGGCTGTTGGCCCCAGTGGAATGCAGCCCTTTACCAGACTTTTTCCACATAGAAGTCACCGTGAATTTGTGCCCATTTCTGTATCGTATCCACCATAGTGGGGAAGGGGGAGTGGGCATTGCCGAACACCAGTAATAGTAAAAGGTTTGGACCTTCTGTCTTTCAGAAAAAGCCAGCAATATGACTGCAAATGGTACATCCCACTCACTGACCTCAGTTTCCAAATGGTGGATGAGTCTGAGGCAGTGCCCAATATCCCACTGGTACCTGATGAGGAACTGGATGCCATGAAGATCAAGATATCCCAGATCAAGAATGACATCCAGCGTGAAAAGGTAAAAGGGGTTGAGTACTCCATGCCAAGTCCAGACTTGGTGTTTCTGTTGAGATGAGGCGCTGATGATGAGCGTTCCCAGAGCTGCACAGCATG